GATCGTAATGCACTGTTCGGTGTGTGGGAACCAGAACTTCTGTTGGAACCTTAGCCTGGAATCCATAAGCAAGGGCAAACAGTGTCTCTCCTGTGGCCGTTCGGGGTGTGGTCCTGTATGTCCATATGATATAATTCAATTGATCCGACCATGATGAGGAACAATGTTCTAGTTTTTTCTTCATACCATCCATAATGGTACGGTTCATATTTTCTACTTGGCCATTTGCCTGAGGGTATGCTACAGATGCTCTGGAATGTTTGATCCCCCATTTGACCAAATAATTTTCGAAGTTCCTGCTCATGAATTGCCTCTCGTTATCCGTGACGATCTGCTCAGGGAGGCCAAACCGGCAAATAATGTTCCGCCAGACAAACTTCTGGCACTGGAAATCTATAATGCTCGCCATCGGTTCAGCCTCCACCCATTTGGTGAAATAATCAATTCCAACGATGATATATTTCAGTCCTCCGGGGGCAGTAGGTAGGGCCCCTAGCAAGTCGATCCCCCACCTAGCAAATGGAAGAGCAACGGTCATCGGAGTGTAGAAAGTTGCTGGCCGACCGTGAACCGGTGCATATAGCTGGCAGACTTTGCACTTTCTGGTATGTGCAAAACAATCCTGTTGGATTGTTGGCTAGTAGTATCCCTGCAAGATGATCTTCCTTGCTAGCGTTTTAGGCCCCTGATGGCTCGAACAAATACCTTCGTGAATTTCTTCCATCACCGCCGCTGCTAGACCGGGTGGGAGGCATTTTAAATATGGTCCTCCGAATGTCTTTTTGTATAGCTGTCCATCCACCAGTTCGAACATGGAAGCCCTCCTCTTAATGCACTTCATATTATATGCTGAATTTTTGTCTTCTGGGAGAGTCTCGTCCTTCAAGTAGTTGGTCATATGTGTGACCCAACAGGGAACGACATAAGAAATAGCCTCTACCTAGAGGATCATAGTTACTGATGTTGTCAGGGTTTCCCGATGGGCAAAACGCTGGATGTGAGTTGGGATCATCTGCGATCGATCATTAAAGGCTGCATTTCCCAATTTAGATATGATATCGGCCTCATTATTTTCTATTCTGGAAACCTGGTCGAGTACCACCTGTTCAAATTTTCTGATTTGTTCCTTGACCACTTCCTTGTACGCCTTCGTCCTCTCTTCTTTGGCCTCGACTGTGCCATTCATCTGGTGGACCACTAGTTGGCTATCTGATCGGACCTTGAGCCGATCAGCACCCAGGGCCTTTTCATACTTTAACCCTGCAATGAGGGCTTCATATTTGGCCTCATTGTTGGTTACCTTAAAGTCAAAATGGATGGAGTAGTATGCTTTAAACCCTTCGGGTGACGTGATCACAGCTCCACCCCCACAACCTTTTGCGCTTGATGCACCATCTACGTACATCTCCCACCAGTCACCTATCATGCTGCACTCTGACTCAGTTTTTGAAGGTCGAGCGGTACATCCCGCTATAAAATCTGCTAAGGCCTAACCTTTGATAATGGGTCGAGGTCTAAAGTCCACCTCATACTGCCCGATCAGGAGGCTCCACTTTGTAATGCGCCCGCTAGCCATTGGATTTCTCAGGATGGTAGCTAGCGACTGAGTTGTATACACGGTTATTGGATGTGCTTCAAAATAGGGTGCTAGCCGTTTGATGGCTGCTATTAGGGCCAATACCATTTTCTCCATTAGGGTGTACCTAGTCTCTGACCCGTTCAGGGCTTTACTCACAAAATAAATGGGCCGCTGGATGCCATCTTCTTCTTTAAGCAACACTGAACTTACAGCCAGATCGGCCACGACAAGGTAAATATTGTAACACCCCGGCCCCGTAGGGCCCGAGGTAGTTACTTCTGACCTCTAATACTGTCCTCACAAACCGCCACTAGCCTTTTCCGCGCACTTTGTCCTCACTCGTGCGCGCCCTGAGAAATTTTCCCAGGGGGTCACTGTAGGGAATAATTGTAATTAGATTTTGATGATGCTAGATTAATTAGGACTTTAGAGTACCCCTTTGGAAATTATGTATTAGAATTTTCCTTTGTAAAGTTCTTAGAAGTATTCGACTTGACAGAAGACCTTCAAGAGCAGAAGGGCTTCAAGAGCAGAAGTGCCTCTTAAGGCATTATTGAAACAGAGGACCTTTGGTTCTCTGCTCCAGAACAGAATTCCTCAGGATCTCTGTTAGTCTTGACTCTGACAGAAACCCTTCTGGGTCTCTGTTGGATACTCCCAACAGAAGTGCTCCAGACCTCCTCTGTTCTACTCTCAGATAAAGACACCAGAAGGTCTGACACTTAGAAGATTTTCACAGAACCGGGAAGTCAACTAAAAGATTCCTTCAACGGCTAGGAGTATGAAACGGAAAAGCTACAGTGCATGCATTAAATGCTCATTTAATGCACCCCATGCTATGTAGAGTAATTGCAGATGATTGGCCGCAATGTCAGGAATACTTTATCCCAAAATAGTAACCCGCCAACTTTATCGGGCTCTACTAGTCAAGTCAACTGATCGCGCATTAAATGCAGTTGTCCTCTTACTCCTCCAACGGGAAGACAACCTCAGTATAAAAGATACACTACGAAGAACAACCGGATAACTTTGCTATAACTTTGCCAAGATTACATTGCAACTTTTGCTAACCACAAGCAAGATATTCAAACTCTGAAAAGCAAAAAGCCTCCTTGAGATTCAAACTCATTATCTTCAACAAGAGAAGGCAGAAGTTGGAAAAAAACTCTTTCCAACTCAAGCAAAGTTCCAAGCGTTCTTCAACTCTTCAAGTTCATCACATACAAATCCTTTGTAATGAAGCTAGTTGGAGGAACCCCAGTTTCAACAGAAACTCTTCTTGCTACAAGAAGGACGTCTAAGTAACTGGAGTAGTGAAGTGGTGATACTTCAAGGAAACTCAGTGAAAGGACCAGTGTTAAAGGAAGCCAGGCAGTGCATCCCAGGACACATCTAGGCTTGAAGAAGACGTGGAGTGCTTCTTAAGTACTAGGACTAAGGCTTTGTAAACGGCAGTTTTTACAGCTTAGTGGAACAGTGGATTAGAGGAACGAGTTGTTCCTTGAACCACTATAAAAATCCCTGGTGTCGTTTACTTACTGCTTTTAATACTTGCACTTAGATAGAACTGTCTAACTCCTTGGACTTGGTATCTGTGTTCAGCAGAACTTGTTCTACGAGTCTAACTCCTTAGACAGAAGGCCTACTGCCTTTGCTTCTCTGAGGCTAACAGAACTCCCTGCCAGAACCCCATCCGCTGCCAGTCTGTTCTTTCAACAGAACAGGCTATTCTGTAAATCTGGTACTTAGTTTAAAAAGCTAAAAACCAATACAGTCTATTCACCCCCCCTCTAGACTGTATCCAGTATAACCGGGACCAACAAGTGGTATCAGAGCCTCCTTGTTCTAATAATCTCTTAGGTTATTTGCTGAACAAAGATCCACTTGTTTTTCTGTTTGACCTCATTTCTATCTGATATAATGGATCACTCCTTGTCCAAGAATCTTATGTTTTCAGATCTTAAGTTTTCATAAGGGGTCCACACCATGGATCGATTAGGTTCTGATACCATGTTAAGACTTGGGGTTCCATCCTAAAAAGTCAACCTGATAGGAGGAGTAGCTCATGTCTTAATATAGCACTTTATTTCTTCACAAGTTTCCGGTGTGGAAATTTAACAGATTTCCCGTCCAAAGACTCTCCTACAAGCACAATTAACTTTGAAGTTCTTAGCGGATGACCTCATTTAAAAGGCGCATCGTATTGATATGAGTGTTGGACCAAATATTTGATGGCGTGATTCTACAATTATGAGAATTGGTCATGGAAGTTTATGCATAATATGTCCATTAATATGATTAAGGAGGAAGTTAATTAGGTTGACCAGTCTTTATGACGAGTCATCAAGTCGTCAGATCAAATCGTCAGATAACGACGGAACGATCGAGAGTTTTGACAAAAGTTATAATGTGACGTTAATTCATTTATCAAAAGAGTCGTTAGTATTAAATGGGATACAACTTCAAGTTGCTAAAACGGACGACTGATTCAGAAGGAACTCAAGGAAGTAATGACGCCAGCTGCTATAACGGATCCAACAATGATAACAACAATGATGATGATTATTATAAGTATGATGGTGGTGGTAATGATAATGATGATGATGATAAAATTCATGATATTTATATTACATATGCCATTTTGGGAGCAATCTTATCTTAAAATAAATAAATAATTATCACAATCTCATGAAAGTTAGAAAGACAAAAAATGGGACTTTTTGTATAAAATAGCTATATCTCCATCGTGAGACGTGACTTACTATCATTATTCATAAATTGTATGGCCCTAATGTAATACGCATGATAGTTTTATGAGAGAATAACTTAGATAGGAGTAAAAAAGTTTTGAAATTCCAAAATAGGAGTATAATGTTTTTTATTCTCTGAATAAGAGTAAATTTCTGCCAAGTTTGGCATTACTAGACTTTAAACATGACATTTTTTCCCAAACTTGGCAGATTACTCTTATTCAGGGAATAAAAAAACATGATACTCTAGTTTTGGAATTTCAAAACGTTTTTGCTCTTATTTAAAACAATTTCTATAATTTTATCATACTCCATATTTTTTACTCATAAATTTTTACTCCAATAATATTTTAGGAAAATTTATACGACAAAATGTAGCATTTAAACATTCGTTGGTCAATTTGCCATGAAAAGAAACATTCTTTGGTCATTTGTGATTTGAAACGTTAACGAAATATATATAATCGTTGTACAAAGATAACATCTAAGTCGTTGTAGTATAGTGGTGAGTATTCCCGCCTGTCACGCGGGTGACCCGGGTTCGATCCCCGGCAACGGCGTTTTGTTTCATTTTTGTCCGCATTTTTTTAATGCACCATGAAATTAGGGTTCTGAAGGTCCACGAAACTCCAACCAATCACATCTCTAGCCTTGCACTCGTTTCCTTACGTGGAATTCTCTAATTGGCTGAGTCCTTGAAGTCCCGTTTACAGAGATAATACCCATGCCCGCTCCCATTTTCATAAGTCCTAACTGCCTTAACTACGATCTGGAGATCTTACCGGAGCTAACATGGCGAAATCAAAGTTTCAATCTATCGCAGTGCTCGTAATCCTCTTAGGAACCCTAGCAGTTCTCTCTCAGGTTGCCTTTTAGTCTCGTACTCTGTTAATCTTTTCCGATGGGAAACGTTGCTTATGTTTTAGTTTAGTTAACAGAATCCGATATCTACTCTTGTTTATAGAACACTGAATTTTACTTCGGTTTTCTCCGAATTTCCGATTTTAGATCAGACACGCCGTACTGTGTTTTTTGGTGTGACTGCGCGAGTGATCGCACTGATTTGATATACAAGTTTAGTATAATGTTAACTACCTATGGTACAGTTATGTTAATTAATATTGCTGTCAAGTTTCTTGTTATAACCTCAGGTAGTGAACGAGAAGTTAAACATCAAATTGCAGGAATTCAAAGGAAAGAATTGAATTTGAACAACAAGGAGATTTTATTGATGAACTGAACGATTACAAGAATATGGAATTCAGAATACATTCTTTACAGAGCTTCCTTTCTATTTATATGCACAAAGGAGTATTAACTACCATAAAACTAACAACAATTCTCCAACAGACAGATATGGCCTCCTGCTCACGTGGCACTTTACTAACTCCTCTCTTTTTGCTTTGTTTAACCATAGTGGTCAATGGCGAGATATGGCGCCGCCATATGCGCCATCGCCATGAAAAAGTGGCTGTCGCCATAGCGACATATGCACCATATGTGCCATTCGTATATGCTCCATCGCCATTTGCCATGAAAAATGCCTTTGAGCCATGGCGATTGCCATGTGCCATGACAACTATGTGCTGCCAGCGAATTTATGACCAATATTTTGCTACATAGCATTTATCTTTTTAAATATGTTTTACCTTCTGGAAGGAGTTCTCATAATCTGCTTCGGATCTGCTGTTTACACTGATAGAGTTTTAGTATTACTCCCTCTGTCCTTCTTAAGTAAGTACAATAACCCCATTTTTTGTACGATTTTTTAGAATTTGGAAACAGCGTTACTTGAATTTGGTTAGAGGAGAGGAAAACAATTCTATGGGGTGGAAAGTGGTCAGAATGAGGATATAAGTGGGGAAGATTTAATATGCTGTTAAGCTATATTCAAAATTTGGAATATGTTTTCCTGTGGTCATAAGTCTTGTATGGATTGTACCCAATAGTTGAACCTTTGGGAAAAAATGAATTCTTTCATCTATAATTGGTTTCTTGGTGTAACGTGTAAGGGTCATTGATATAAGATGTTAAAATACTGTACTTCATACTCCATTATACTCCCTCCGTCCCAGAATTTACTTCCATAGTACAAATGGCACACAGATTAAGAAAGTGGGAATTGTGTGGTGGAGAGTTGTGAAGAGGAGAGAGAAATGTGTAAGAATGTGTAAGAATTGTTGCGAACCACAAATTCTTTGCCAAAAAGGGAAAGGGAAGTTCTTTTTGGGACAGACGAAAAGGGAAAGTTGGAAGTAAATTATGGGACGGAGGGAGTAGATTTCAGGAACAATGCTTTCTGGTTGTGTTGCATGAGGATTTGAATTTATATATATGCCATTATGGCAACATTCATAACCTACAAGATGAACTAGACAATATTCTGCGTTGTTGGAGAACATAAAAACATGTTAGTTTTTTGGGTGTGCAATTTCTTGTAAAAAATTACAATTAGATCATACTTTTTTTGTCATTCTGTTGGTCAAAATTTAATTTTGACTTGTATGTTTGCACTTCTGCTGACTGAAAATCGCGTGAGACTATAATATATGCTTCATAGCAAGCCTAATGTTGACTTTCAAGTATTTATTCACAGGCCAAAAAGTCTCAAAAGTCACAGAAGAGTTTACAAGAAGTTACTCACAAAGTGTACTTTGATGTTGATATTGATGGAAAACCTGCTGGTATGCTCTGTAGTCTTTGTTCGTGCATTGATATGAATGATCTTGAATGATTACTTTTAAGCACTCTTCAATATTAGATAAAAATAGTAGATCAATAACAGCACAAGGCCATTCATTTTTCAGGCCGTATTATCATTGGCCTCTTTGGAAAAACAGTTCCTAAAACAGCAGGTGTGTTTACATTTGATGGCTAATATTGTGCTTTCTATGTATGACCTTCCCCAATAGCTTTTGTAATTCTTTTTTATTTTTGTTGCAGAAAACTTTAGAGCATTATGTACAGGTAGTGTGTCTCAGCTGTTCTCCATAGTTATTTCTTTCTGACATTTGTTATGGTTTTTTCTTTTTCATTAAAAATTCCAAAAACTTTTTACAAATTTTTCAGGTGAGAAAGGCATTGGAAAGAGTGGCAAGCCTCTGCATTTCAAAAGTAGTAAATTCCATAGAATTATCCCTAGCTTTATGATTCAAGGTGGCGACTTTACCCATGGTAATGGCATGGGCGGAGAGTCGATTCACGGGGAAAAGTTTCCCGATGAAAATTTCAAGCTCAAGCACACTGGCCCAGGTGCCACACAATGTTCTCTAAATATTATTTGGCTTTTGCATCACAAGGATTCATATCATCATATGGAAGTTCTTATTTATGTTCTTTTCAGGAATTCTTTCAATGGCAAATGCTGGTCCTGACACCAACGGTTCACAGTTCTTTATCACTACTGTCACAACCAGCTGGTTAGTTTGTACTCCTCTCGCCTGCCTTATTTCCAAATACATTTATTTGTGAATAAATCAGACCACTTCCGTATTTCTCCCTTCGAAGCTCAGCCTCTGAGTTTATTTTAGATATTTGCTCAAACTCAATTGTTTTACTATTCTAAAACGTCTAAATGAAAAGTCACACTAACATCAACGAGGAAGTACTTGTATGTTATTCCCTATTTATTTACCTTCAATTTTATACAGGCTGGATGGAAAGCATGTTGTTTTTGGGAAGGTGTTATCTGGGATGGACGTGGTATATAAAATTGAAGCAGAAGGGAAGCAGAGTGGTGAGCCTAATAGCAACGTTGTAATTGCAGACAGTGGTGAACTCCCACTATGAGTTATTTTTGAGTTTGTTTAGCAGCAAAGCCTGTGGCATTTTTGTAGTGCCACTTTAAATTACTACTTACCGTTCCAAATATGTGCTACTTGCGGCATGGAATTGATCAGCTACCATTTTGATTTAATTAAGCCTGATAAAGTTAAATGGTCGTTGTAATTTGGGAGAACTATCAAATAAGCCCCCGAACTTTCATAAAGAGTGCAAATAAGCCCTTTTACAGGAGATTTTGTCCGGCTGTCAACATTTGGGGTGGTTTCCGATGAAATTTTTTGATGAAGTGTTTTGAGCATCTTCTTCATTAAGTCTAGTTTATCCATATCAAATTTCAGCTAAAAATTCAATCGAGAAGGCAATCAAATGATTTTTTGAAATATACTAACTGCGCAGTTGTCTTCAAAAATTCATTTGATTGCCTTTCCGATTGAATGTTTAGCTAAAATTTGGTATGAGTAAACTAGACTTAATGAAGAAGATGATCAAAAAAATTTATCAAAAAATTCCACCGGAAACCGCCCAAAATAGAGACGGCCGGACAGAGTCTCCTATAAAAAAGGTTTATTTGCATTTTTTATGAAAGTTCGAGGGCTTATTTGATAATTCTTTCTTGTAATTTTTTGAAGTAAATTATATTTTGGTCGGTACTCGGTAGCTTTTTAAGGAAAATAGCTAATCTATTATTATCTATTATTATTAATGCAAAGTATTGTTTGCCAAAAGGCTAGGAGGATTATCAAAAGGAACTTCACAATGTCAACTAGAAACAACTTTTTGATGGTCCATCGATTGGGTGAGAACTGAGCAACAGGATTATCAAAAGGAACTCCGTAACATTTTTAATAAATTATAACTTTTTATATATAAGAATAATGAGTATATATGCTAAATTGTGTACACTAAATCCTATATTTCATATAAGTATATAAAGAATAATATACCAGAGCTCCATTTGAAAAACCCTAACATCCTTAACTCAGTGTATCACGTATTTACGGCCCAGGACTCTGCTTCTTAACAGTGAGAACAACTCTCATCGATCCTTCTAGATGGAACGATGCTAGGCCTGCAGTTCGGCTCTACCGCCGGTGGCTTCTAATCTTTCTCATTATCAAACTTTTTTAAAGCGAAAAGCGTCCAAAAGCGATGATCCTGGGTTTTGATTCAAAGCGATAGCGCTAAGCGAAGCGTAGCTTTCTCACAAAAATCTATGCTTAAAAAAATTAAAGAAAATATAATATATATTGTATACTTATGTCAAAAATCCATAAGCTCATATTCTCTGCCCTTTTTTACCAAGTATTAGTAATATACTATCTTAAGCTCATTAAAACACACACTGACACACTGAATAACACAAAATTAAAGCAAATCAATCACAAAATTCAAAGTGAATTTTATACAAGAAGAATATGAAAATACAAAGTATAGAACAATAAAAAAAATACAAAATTAAAAGAAATCAACCAAAAAAATTCAAAGTGAAGAATATACAACTGTATAAATGCTTAAAGACACGTTAAAAGTGAAAGAGTAAACAAATCAACCACAATAAAAAAACAGAGTATATACGCCACAAACACTGAAAATAAAATAAAATTGAATAAAAACCTGTAGAAATGCGTTGATATCATCGTTGATCATTCAGCAGTAAAAAGAAATACTACCTCAACATATAAAAACGAAGATTGAATAAAAACTTGGAGGAGTAAACGAAGACAACCTCAGCACTTCAACAGTATTCGATCGAGAAGGAATACCTGGAGGAGTCTTCTGGTTGTCGCAGGCTAGCAGCTCTGGAGAGGTCTTCTGGTTGTCGGCTACAGAAAGAGAAGAACGAACGATGAACGATCACAGCTTTCTGGTTGTCGCAGCTCTGTAGATGAACGATCTATTTGTCTTTCTCTAAATGGACTCAACCCTAGTAATCGTAATCGCAGAGTGCAGACTAAAAAAAATTTCTAATTGTTGACCGGTCAATCGCTTTTTGTGAGAAGCGGAAGAAAGCGACCGCTTTATGAAGGCATCGCTTACGGGATAAGCGGAAGAAAACGAGCGCTTTCGCACAGAGTCGCGCCGATGGGAAGCGAAGCGCAGGTCCATCGCTTGCTTTCGCTTTACGCTTTTTGACGCTTTTTTACGCTTTTAATAAGTTTGCTCATTATCAAGGATTCTACCCCAATTTCTTCTTTCTTCTTTTTACTACTTTTTGGGCTTGTCATACTAATGAATTTAGGACTAAAATTGCTTGATTGCTTGAATATTTACTTTTGTATGTTTTATGGTGCTTTGAATATATAATTTACTACAAAGGATGTGACAAATGGTATATCCAGGGGAGGGATAGTATATCTCGGGGATACCACTGAGGGGTATTTAGAGAGAAGTAGGAACAAGTAAGAGAGAGAATGGGTGTGTAATAAATGAATTCGATGATGGATCCTTGCAATGAAAATGTGGCTGCTATTTATAGCAGCCATAAATGCTAAACGCATTCAATACAAGTACACGTGTCAATTAATCAACGGTGGAGGGTCAACTCAACTGGGGTGGCGCCGACATAGCAGGTGGCACCACATTCAATGCGGCGGTTTGGATGTGACATCGCATTTAATGCGGCGATTCAGAGCATGCAGAGAGGAGATCTTGTCGGCGTAGTGCCTTCTGCTGCATGTACCGGGGGCCCGTATGCGCCGAAGGCTGTATATGCTGAGGGCTAACAATTTTGGCCTTGTTTCCCAGTTGTGTTTTTGGACCAGGTATAATCACTTTCCTGAATATGAGACCTTCGGTCATAAGGCCGAAGGCTATACCCTGTGTATCATGGGTTGTTTGGAGTCTTGGCTGTTATATTTGGGTCACTTGGGCCTATTGGGCTTGTTTGTAGTAGTGGAAGTATGTGGGCCAGAGGTTCCTGGGCCATGTACTCCAACAGGAGCCCCCACTCCTTTTGCCGAGAGCTTCTCGAGGGAAATAGGAGTAAGTATTGTGATCCCACCAGTGGCTTCCTTACTGTATCTAAGAAATAGTAAAATCTTTACATTTGCGTGTTTTGCCGAAGGGAGTCCCCTAGTCCCCCACATTTTGAGGTTGAGGGCCTTTTTGAGGGAAGGCTGGTATGCTTTTGTTGATGGCCTGGAAAAACTCTTGATATTCTTGATTTTCCCAAGGGATTCCCCCAGTCCTCCACACCTTTAGGCCGAGGGCTTGTTCGGACTGAAGGGGTTTGCTGCAAAGTGTTAACCCAAGGGGTTCTTGTGATCTTAGTTGTTCGGGGAAGGGGGGTGCCGGTTGAGGTTGTTCAGTTGTGTGAAAGTGGCCGTTGGAATATGACCGTTGGAGGAGGGGTCCACGTGGCGCATGTTGGTTGGCTTTCGTTGGGCGGCTGTCACCGGTTGGCTGAGGCGACGGTTCGTAATGATGGGCTTTTAACCAGAGGCCCATGTTGCGGTCCTAACCACGATTGCGGAGGCTATAAATACCCAAGGCCCGGGTTCATTCCTCTTGTGTGATTTATAACTGAAGCGAAGCTCTGCCAAATTTTCTAGAGAGAGAGAGAGAGAGTTTAGATCGATCAAACCAAGTTTCCGAGGTCAGTTCTTCTCTTGTTCTTGATTCCCTTAGCACATTTTGCTCCACCTGTCTTAGATCTAGTGTTAACAGCCTTAGAATTTTTTTTATCAACTTCCCTCGTCAAATGATCTGAAGGACGTCTTCTGCAAGCGACTCCTAGGATATTTCCAAAGAGCCCTCGGTCCAATCGGAGACTTGGTCTGACGAAGGGCCATCAAGTGCTCAGGCCTCATCCCACAATGATTCTGCTGTGGCAAAGGAGGTTCAGAGCAACCTTAGAACCGAGGCCAAAGACGAGGAGTTCGAGCAGGTAGTTGGGGACAAGGAGATGGCCCTAGTCGTCCAAAAAGCCGAAGAGGAGATGGAAAAGGAGCGCCTCTAGGTCACCGTCGCCATTCCTTCTGCCACCGCTGGTGGGGCAGGGACTTCACGAGCCCTCAGCCCGGAACCCCTTCGTGCTGCGACGTTGAAGAAGAAGAAGAAGTTGAAGGCTCCCCTGAAGAAGAAGCAAGCTGTCGCTGATGCTGTGCAACCCGTCGGTATTCCTGAGGGACATTCATACTTAAACACTGCCACCCTCGCCTTGAAGACCAAGGCCGATGACGCCGAGTACCACGTCACCCAATTCTACATTGGACCCTCGAAAACGGTGATAGAGCCGGGTTCTGAAGATGTGCTTTCCCGTGCTCCCGAGTGATGTTTTGCGGTCCACATCCTCTCCATCGCATTGGGCCTGCGGTTTCCTTTCCAACCCTTCGTCCTAGAGTACCTTCGGTTCATAGGCTTGGCCCCCTGCCAACTGACCCCGAACAGCCATTCATACATCGTCGGCTTCTTGCATCTCTGCCGGTCCTGATGAGTGAACTCGAGCCTTGATTTATTTTTCCTTTGCTTCAATCTCTGCCGGGGTGGGCATGCCAATAGCGAGGGCTTTGCCAATCTGCAGCAGGTCCCCGAGTGGAGGCTCTTCTCTGAAGTGCCCTCGTCTCACAAGGGATGGAAGGACCACTTTTGCTGGATTAGGATGGCAGAGAATCCATTCCCTGGCGTACTGCGAGACCACTTCCGGTGTCATGCAAAAGTGGGGAGTGCCGGCCTCGAGAAGGATGGAAGGAAGATCTCTACGTTCTCGAAGGGTTCCACCAAGTTGGCGACGATCAAGGACGCCACCCTCCCGAACGACCTGTATGACTTGGGATTTCGGCGCTATCGTCTCCTTGGGGAGCAGGACGAGAGATACCCGTTAATAGACCGGGTCTACGAGGAGTTGGAGGTGCTTCCCGAGGGCCTCCTTTTTCGTACTTAGAAAATTTTCATCGTTGTGTTTTTTTTGTTGCCTTCTTCCATATTTTTTGGCGTAATACTTGTTTGCTTTTTGCAGGTAGCAATATGGATGTCCATACCTTCGCTGCTATGAGGAAGCAGTTGGTCCATGCCCAGAAGAAGAAAGAGACGGTGGTGCAGAAGCCGGTGGATACGTTTTTCAAGAAGGGGGGCAAAGAGCCCTCGAAGGCTGCTGTCGTTGGTGAAGAAGTCGGGGGCTCCCAGGCTACCGCGACCAAGAGGAGAAAGAAGGTGGGGAAGGGAGTTCAGCCCTCGGAGAAGAAGCAGAAGATGGACGATCGGGGCAAGGAGGGTGCCCCGGATTCAGTGGTCGTCATTAAAGGCCACTCAGCTTCTGACCCTCCGTGCAATGCGACACCGCCGCCTCGTTCGCCTCTGGAGAAGTTCGACGAGGAGCTCTTCGCTCATGAGACGCTGGAGGTCTCAATAAAGAAAGGCCTCTCCATAATGGTCGGCATCCTGAAGCCCATGGACTATATTAGGGGAATGACACCAACGGGTGACAGGTCCATGCTGGCCCGTTATGAGGATGATGTCCTTGAGGACATGATTCTTCAGGACAGTGCATCCGTAAGTATCCTTCCTTTTTCTACCCCTTCGTCTGCCCTTTTCACATATATTCGTATACGCATTTTTATTTATGTAGCGGGCTGACCCTTAGTTGTTTGTTGCAGAGATTGGGCCTTTGTGAGCATCTCCAGTGGGTTCGGAAAATGAGGAAGGGCAAGATGGCCGTTGATGAAGTCCCGAAGTTTACCAGTGGGGAGAACCGAAACCTCCAGAAGAAGTTAGCTGGGGCTGAGGAGAACCTCCGAATGGCCACGGAGGACATGGACAAATGGCTGGAGGCTGCTAGGGCTGAGGGCAAAGCTGAAGCCGAGGGCTTTGCCACTGCCGGGGAGGGCATGCCAATAGCGAGGGCTTTGCCAATCTGAAGCAGGTCACAAAGGAATTGTGCCCATATAAAGGGATTGTGCCCATTTATTCCTTGACCTCGCAGAGTCTCCTCCTATGTTGCCTCCAGTGATCATGTGGATGTGGCGCCCAGTGATTGACCTCCCCTATATAAAGGGATTGCGCCCAGTGATTGACCCCCCAGCTTTTACGGGGGGCATATGATTGACCTCCCCTATATAAAGGGATTGTGCCCATTTCTTCCTTTGGCTCGCGGAGTCTCCTCCCATGTTGCCCCCAGTGATCATGTGGATGTGGTGCTTCTTCTCTTGAAGATGATGGTACCCCTCTTCTTCACTGAGGTTTCCAATCTCTCGCTTCTTACCACTCGGGTCTCCGAGGGGAATAGTGTTCGAGTTGATCCAGGTTTTTGCTTTCGTAGGGGGGCTTGATGAGGGGAACCCCTGATGAATTGGGACAGATGGACCTTTCCTATCAATTTCTCGATGGGGCCTTCAGCTAGTGGCAGTCATCGGTGTGGTGCCCTGGGTGACGGTGGAAGCGGAAATATGGTTCGTTTGGATTGATGGCACACACCTCCTGAGGTGCTCTGGAGTCTCGCTCCACTAGACCCCTTTCCTCTACGTAGTCCAGAATGACGCTGATGGGGTGAGTCAAGGGGGTCTGAGGACGTTCCAGGAGTGTGGGTTGTGCCCAGGCCCTCGGGTTATTCTTATAACTTCCCCTGGACTTAGCTTGACCATGCCGGGATCGATCCCCGAAGGGGGCTTGCACCTTTGCTGGACGAGGCGGAACCCTCGGATTCCGGTGATTCTTGCCATCTGGTTTGTGGGGCTGTTTAGTGTTTCGGCGATATTTGTCTACCTCCCCAGCTTCCGTGTACCTGTCTCCCCATTGAAGGGCCCTTATGTAGTTACGAGGTGGTTTGGTGATGAGGCTCCTTGAGAAGTTTCCGGAACGAAGCACTGTCTGTAAGAGGGCCATCAACGTCTTGTCATCGGCACCGTCGACTTTGTCCGTCTCTTTCCTCCAGCGTTCCAAGAAATCTCGGAGGGTCTCCTCCTTCTGTTATCTTATTGTCAATAGTTGGGAAAAATGCTTCTTTGACCGGTACCTTCCCGCGAATTGCGTCAGGAAACGCTGTGCGAGTTCTTGCCACGAGTCAATACTCCCTTCGAGCAATCGGTTGAACCATTCGTACGCTGGTCCTTCCAGGGTGGGGAGGAACCAACGGCACAAATATTCATCTGAGGCCCCCATCATCATCATGCTATTTTGATACCTATTTTAGTGCTCCTGAGGATCAGTCTTCCCCTCATATGGCTTTATGGTCCGTCCTCGATACTTTCTCGAGATCTGAGCCGCCAATACTTTTGGGGTAAAAGGCGTCTTCATGCGAAGTTGGATGACAGGCTCCCCCGAGCCCTCGGTTAGCTTCCTCTACATTTCGTCCACCTTTGCCAACATGGCAGCGTATTTTGGATCCGTCTGTGAGGCGGAAGCTGTTGTGTGGGCCTGACGGGCCTCCATCTCGTCAAGTCGGCGCTAGAGGGCCTCAATAATTTCATCCCTACGATCCTTCGGATTGCCTCCACTCCATGCGATTGTACACGGGCTGAGTAAGCCTGGTTGATCTGGTGCCTGGCGTCATCAGCATGCAATAGTCCTTTGCCCTTTTCACTGGGGGTTGTGTCGCATCTACCCTCGAAACGGATCCTCCGCTCTCCTGAGGCCTGCTGAATGCCTTACCACCGAGGCGGTCTTGGACCCCCCGGTGATCATGTGCTCCCCCGAGCCTGTTGAGGGCGGAGGTTCGGGGCTTATCCTTGTTTGCCCCGCGCTGGTCCCAGGACTGAGCCTCCTGTGACGTCGTTATTCCCGATGGATAGAATGGGATTTACAAATGGGGCGGAGGTGGCAGGGAAAGAACGATGTTCTCCCCAACGTGTGTCTGGGGCGGCACCAGAGCCCCGAAGGCACTGGGGTTCTGGGTGAGTGTGTGGATGAAAGCAGAGAATGTCGATTGCACGTCGATAGCCAAGACCGGAGGGCTTACTTGGTTCTCACTTCAGTCCTTTCTCCGAGTTTCGAGGCCGATGCGAGCATCAGGAGCAATCTTCTGGAGCTGAAGGCGCAGGTCAGCAGCGGCCTGCTCCATTTCAGCGAGGGCCCCGCCTTCGGGAGCCTTGTTGGAGGCTTCAGTGGCGTTAACCTCACCGAGGCCTGGATTTTTGTCTTCTAGGGTATTGGATTGATCTCGAGTTCTTTCCATTCTGATGAGTGTTCTTTTTTTCGGAGGGGAGGGTTCTTACTTGATTGGTCGACCTCTCAACGAGAGCACCAAATGACGGATGCTATATCTGGGGGATACCGCTTAGGGGTATCTAGAGAGAAGTCAGAACAAATAAGAGAGAGTGGGTATGTAATAAATGAATTCGATGATGGATCCTTACAATGAAAAAGTGGCTGCTATTTATAGCAGCCATAAATGCTAAACGCATTCAATGCGAGTACACATGTCAATTAATCAACGGTGAAGGGTCAACTCAACCGGGGTGGCGCCGACATAGCATGTGGCACCGCATTCAATGCGGTCATTTGGATGTGACATCACATTTAATGCGACCCATTCAGAGCATGCAGAGAGGAGATCTTGTCGGGGTAGTGCCTTCGGTTGCATGTACCCAGGGGGGCGAATGTGCCGAAGGCTGTATATGCCGAGGGCTAACGATTTTGGCCTTGTTTCCCAGTTGTGTTTTTGGGCCTGGTATAATCACTTTCCTGAATATGAGGCCTTCACTCATAAGACCGGAGGCTATACCAGTATACCCTGTGTATCATGGGCTGTTTGGAGTCTTGGCTGCTGTATGTGAGCTAGGGATTCCTGGGCCATATACTCCATGAGGATGTTTACATTAACAAGTAGGATTAGAAATTTGTTATTTGGTATCATTTGGGCAAACAATTACCCGTGGATAAATCGATTCCCCGTTGGGGCGGGTACGGTTCAAATAACAATTACCCAAGCCTACATGTTAATGTTTCGGGACAAACATTTATCCAACGGGACGGTTTCTGTTTTATATGTACCCGTTCCCGATCCGCCCCGTTGCCTACACCCAACTCCAGGCCTACTCCAACCATGCACACCATTTACCATGACTCACCACTGCATCTAAACCTACTAAACCATAGTCAAGTAGCACGATACTTGACTAGACTCTGTATCCACATCACGGAAACGTTTCGTATCAAATACTTTATGAAACCCATATTGTACACTTTTGGGCCGTATATGAAATTTATTAAAAGTTATCATTTTTTACAATTATTTCAAAAATCAGATACATGTATTCTAACGGTTAGACGTATCAACTTTTTTTTAAAAGAAAGTTCACAATAATTACATACTCCCTTCGTCCCATAAAATTCTTCCCACTTTCCTTTTTTGGTCATCTCAAAAAAAATTCCTACTTACAATTTTTGAACAATTTGAGTGGTTCACATTCATTTCACTTTTTTCTTACACAACTACAACCATACACTTTCACTTTATTTCACTTTCTTAATATGCATGTCAAGTTAAACTGAGAAGAATTTTCTGGAATTTGAGAGAGTAATAAAAGTATTAAAAAGGGAAAAGAGGTAAATAAGCCCACGTACTAACCAAAAAAGGTCAAATAAGCCCTTTATATAGGAGACTCTGTTCGGTCGTCGTCATTTGGGGCAGTTCCCGATGGAATTTTTTGATGATTTTTTTTGAGAATCTTATTCATTAAGTCTAATTTACTCATACCAAATTTCAGCTAACAATTCAATTGGGATAGGATTCAAATAAATTCTTGAAGATAACTGCGCTTTTAACTGCGCATTTATTTTCAAGAATTCATTTAAATGTCTTCCCGATTGAAGTTTAAGCTGAAATTTGGTATGAGTAATATGATCAAAAAATTGCATCAAAAAATTCCACCGGAAACCGCCCCAAATGACGACAGCCGGACATAGCCTCCTATGTAAAGCCTCCTATGAGCTTATTTGCCCCTTTTCCCTATTAAAAAACATACATACGGAACCATGTGATATCCGGCTTAAAAACAAACTGCTCGAAGAGTCCGGAACCATGTCAATTGTCAACCCCTAGTTAACCTACTTTTCAAGTCATCAGATGAATCAATCAATCAATTAAATGGTAAACTTTCCAAGCCTTCAGATGCATCCATCAATTATAGAGTAAATATACAGAAAATCCCACAACTGCTTTCATTGTTAACTCTGTCATAACATTGTTACATACATACGGGATATTTAAAAGAATGTGAATATTTATATAAAGTAAATGGGAGAAGAGTGAAGACTAATGGCAAGAAGATGTCAGAGTAGCATCATGCCACAACCTAAGCCTAACTAGATTTATACTCTCTGGATTACAATAGAAGAGATACGTCTAGCTAGCAAACATGAGGTTGAGCTATTAATTTTACTCCCAGTCCCTCCGAGGTGTTAAAGTGAGATATTCCGAAATTCACTCGTCATCGCTATCAGGAGTATCCAGGAAGCTTAAATTTGTTTGTCCTCGAAGTTTGATAAGCAATGTTCCCCTATTCTCCTCACTCCATTCAATCCCTTCATTATCTAATAAATTCAACACCTGTGCGCCAATTGCAGTTAATAATAAGAGCCACAAAACTGACTAGGCAGAAAATGTGCAGGTTAAAGATTTATAGGGTAAACAAGTAAAATACGAAGAAAAAATGTGCCTATTTGGTAAAATGTCTTAAACATCCGAACCTGCTGAATTAGACAAATCTGTTTGGATTCTCTAGACTATGTACTTAAATCACATTTTGAATAAATATAAAAAAAACACATATCTCACATAGAAGGTTAAAGTGTCGTTTTAACTAATTGAAGCCAATTTCTTTTAGTGCATCCCAGTGCATGAAGGCATCCAGCCACCCCCCCAAGACTTGAACTTGTGACCTCTCGGTCACACAACAACACCTAAACTGGTTCACCAAGGTCCCTCTTCTACACAAATTGAAGCCAATTAAGCAAAAAAAACTTCCACACTACTTTTTAAACCATCGGCCAATTCAACCACTGCCACAATGATATATGTTGGTGTCTCATAAAAAATTTGGTACATAAGGCTGATAGGCTGGAAAAAGTGCCTACCAAACAGGGTCTAACCCCCACCTGCCACATTTTTGAAAGCCTACGTTGAAGAATTCATGTGTGTGTGTGTCTATATATATATATATATATATATATATATATATATATATATATATATATATATATATATATATATATATATATATATATATATATATATATATATATATTGCTAGGACACTCGGTTAGGTATATATTTGACTTTTATGTGGCTCGAGTTCTAAAATGTATTTTTGCTTTGTACCGCGAGTTTGAGCTTAGACTTCCCAAGGCCTTGCCCCCCGCATCCGGTGATTACCCTGAATGACCGCACAGCTGGAAAAGCAAGAGTCAATAAATCTATACTATATTTAGTAATATTTCAAGCAGTCTGGGTCAAAGGTTATTACAGCGTCCATATGCACCAAACAGAAGGTGAAGCTTCAAGAGCCTCATTGCTTGTTTAACATGCTGCCCATGCAAGTCAATGGTAATCACATTCTCTATGCTCTTATTTCTGCAGAAACAAATATTACATATAGCTGCCTTCATTATAACTGTTGGGGGAAGGATTTGCGGGGAGAAACAAAAAAATTACCTGGCTTCAAAAATATTCTGACTGGCCTTTTCCTCAGCCTCAAGAGCCTTCTTGTTTTGTGTCCTGCCCTGTGGAATAGTCAAAATGTACAATAATTTAATAAGCTAAGCACAGACATGAAATTCCTGGCATAAAGATGCGTCATGTGAAGGACACCATTGTACATACCTGATCAGCAAGATAAGCAGCATATTGCCGTTCACCATTTGAAAAAGCTGATGCAGCCTGCAAACAAAATCGAGCTTACAAGTTTTGAGTCTATAAGTTTTTAGTCATATCTGAATGAATTACATATACACATATGTAGTACCTTTTGATAGTATGACTTCATTGATTCCCAGTGTCGCGTTGAAGCTTCTCTGAAAATCTGGTAGTCCTCTCCTTTAGAAGCTACAAATTGGAATATTTAGCAAGAAAAAGTAGTTACATCAAATCCACCCCCAGCCCCTAAAAAACGCGTATATGCACATTTTTATAAGTAATTGGTGTTAGGGCATATTTCTTTTTCTTTGAAAGGGAAGCTGTGGGGGAGCAGTATGATGAAAGGTATGCCTCTCACATATCTCATGCTTTTCTTCATGGTTGCTACCCTACAAATTGGCTCCATCTGAGGCCTGAAGATTTGAGGATCTCTTTGGATGGAGGATTTATAAGGCCTTTGAAGAGGAAGGTTAAGCTACATATATAGACACATACACATGATATGGCTCCAGTGTGTGGCGCACTAATTGCTTCCCCACACACACTCATTGGATGGAGGATTTATGACTTCTTTGGAGAGGAAGGCTTAGCTACATATATAGATACACACAGTGTGGATCTCTCTCTCTCTCTCTCAGACACATATAGGCCGTGAGGTGCTAAACTGCTAATCATGCAAAAGGATGTATCTTTGGTCCGCTGTGGTGCAGTTTTTATGCTTCGAGTTTTGAAAAATGCATTGTTCGCGATGGCTGAAAAATTGGTTTATTCACAAATACAGGACTGCGTTTTTTTCAAAATTTTCTGCATTGTTAATCTCCTCTCTCTCTCTGTACAATATATATATATATATATATATATATATATAGAGAGAGAGAGAGTACTCTTCCGGTCAGGAATTCCTGACCGGAACCGCCGTCTGGACGGTGGCATTTGGGGACCTTCCCGGTGAAATTTTTTGATGAAATTTTTATGGCATGTTCTTCATCAAGTCTAGTTTATCCACAAAAAATTTCAACTAAAAATTCAATCGGGAAGGTCGTTTTGTATATTTTGGGCGCAGTTATTTTCCAAAAATCATTTGACGGCCTTCCCGATTGAATTTTTAGCTGAATTTTTGTGTGGATAAACTAGACTTGATGAGAACATGCCATAAAAATTTCATCAAAAAAATCGACCGGGAAGAGGCCGAAACGCCGCCGTCTGGGAATATTTCTCTCTCTCTATATATATACATATATATGTGTATATATATATATATATGTTGGCCAAAATGATTATAACAATTTGATCTTGAATCTAACGGTTTGTACCTATTGTATCTCAGACACACACACATATAACATATATGTATGTAAGTATACGACTTCATAATAATTCTAAGACCTAATATATGATCATATGATTCGTATCGTACATTTTATTTTTTTTAGAAACAATTTATTTGTCAAGATAAAGACGTGTAAATACCATCCACTCAAGTCTCAAACATACCATTAAGATATATTACCTCCGTCGCACTAATATTGGGACGGAGGGGGGTGGCACGGTTATTAAGAAATGTGGGTTTATGTGGTTTATTATTATGGGTTTATTAAAAAGAAGGAAATGATCGTGTCATTGATTCAGGAAGACCTCTTTGTCTCTTTGCAAGAAGTTATTGTTAAGATCTTTTATTTTTATAACAAGTCATTTGGTTGGAGACATAACCATGCCAAGGTTCTTTTAGATTTTGTGGTTGTGATTTGAGGGCATTCAATTTACATCCCTTATGAGCTGTAGTTATCCAAATTTTTTAGATATTATTTTCACAGATATAATATAAGTGCTCCTTTTTTGTGGTGCTTTTATACACTGTATTTTTTTAATGTTTGGACACTTGATCTGCTAGGGCCGATACCATAGTAATGTTGAGGCTATATTAATAGACACAAAGTGAAAAACAAAATAGCTATGAGTAGGGGCGGGGGGCTTGGTCCAATTTCTGGGATTGGACCAGGCCTGTTATTTCCAGTTCGGGTCGAACACTTGTGCTAAAGTCGTTCCCCACCAGCACTGGTGGTGGTAAGTTTTTTGGGGACTGGAACTGGCCGATCCCGTCACCCACCATGATTGTTTGCAACAACTTTGAAAGTCTGTTATTAATTAAAACTTTTTATTGTATATTACTTCTTATTCACTTTTGATACATTTACTAATTTTATTTACATACAAAGTTTAATTAGATAAATATTCTTAACAAATAATATAATATAATTTTAAATAATTTTGTTCCGTGCATCGCACGGGTGAGAATCTAGTTAATTGATAAAGTAAGAATAATTTAGAGCCACACAAACTTTACCAAATTTGGTATGGGACAATTTTAGTGGGATTTCCCAAAGAGGTAAAATGGGACAACATTGGCGGGACGGAGGGAGTATCATATTAGTAAATAGAAAATGCAACCAATAGAATCACATATACTCCAATGAAGCTAAATACCATAGTTATGAACGTGTATAACACTGCTAGCAGGGGGAGGTTCAGAGTTGAGCCCCAAGGATGACATTTTTGTCACCACATCTCTCCATTTTACAGTACCCGGTACATGTTCAACCGTCTTTAGGGTGGGCACATTAAACAAGGATTTCAGAACGTCCTTTGAGACTTGTGACTCTGAATTTCCCTGGGGTGGTGAAGAACGCTCGATCTCATGCACAAATTTATGTTGATCCCTAAAATATAGAGGATATATATTTTGAAAAACCATTGGTTACAATTGGAACTCAGTAAGAAGATCTTGATGTATTAACTATCCAATCATATAGCATTAATGCAGTAATCAAGCAAGTGGAGAATAATTCAAGACCTTGTACGGCATTTCAATATCGTGGGTATCTAGAGATTTTTTTCACTAAAATATGCACATGTCTTTATTCCTACAATTTCCTAGTAGCCTACATTTTTTGAAGTTTGCAGCACTTTTGTGGTAAAATGGCATATTAGAACAAAATCTTATTAGAGTGTTGAACTTCAACACTAAGCAAATTACAATTACAAATATAGAGTCTAAGCATTTTTACGTGTTAACCAAATGGTAAAAATAACATGCAGTACCATGCCAGTTTGGTAGCCAGGATCCATAATTGAATTTACTGGAGACCAGAGGTAATTATATTCACATGCATGAGAGCTTTTTGAAGATGCATGGAGAGACATAATCTGCAGTATCTAAGTACATATTACATACATCCTTACATGTAGTACCCCACTCTAACATAAAGACTAAGGGGCTGTTTACTTATGATTTAATGGACTTAATCAGAAGGAAGTTAATCGTTCAGCCATTAAGTTATGTTTACATACGACTTTCAGTCAAAAAATGACTAAATTATTAAACTGTCATATAGTAAGACTTACGACTTTCAGTCAAAAAATGACTAAATTATTAAACTGTCATATAGTAAGACTTCGCATTAAGACGCCTATTAAGATGTCTATACAGCCAATTTTTTTAAAATCTATTACTACGTATAAAAAGATGTAAACTAAAAAATAATACTTTTCATTGACAATATAATGCAACAATAATATTAAATTGATTATTTTACTCAATTCAGACTATTTATTCAGCACACAAACTAAGCAGTCTCATATACAAACATCACTTAATCCAGACAAATAACTTAATACTAATAGACAACTTAATCCTGAAACAGGACGTAATAGAAAAAAAGTAACCAGCCTCTAAGAGAGCTGAGAGAGCTATTTATAGGAGCATCATGTAATGGAAACCTAGAATTATGGGTAGTGATCGTAAAATTGTATATCATCAACTCCCACCACCAAGCTAGTTGTTGACTGAGTAAAGCTTGTCTTGGTAACTATTTAAGCAGTCTCATATACAAACATCACTTAATCCAGACACATATCTTAATACTAATAGACAACTTAATCTTGAAACAGGACGTCATCATCATTATCATTACTCCGATGCCGCAAAGGCTCCCACCTACGGTAGGGTAAAGGGGGTCAGATGTACGTAGTCTTACCCCTATACAAAAACACAGAGAGACTGTTTCCGGATGACCCATAGTGAAAATCGCGTCCAAAATTACATAGACTGACGGCTGCTTCTTAACAAAGAAGCTCAAACAATTTAGTGAGCCATTTCGCTTTATTCCATCACATTCTCAAGCCAAAAAATAGCGAATATTTGGCTCCATTGCAAATGATGGAAAAAAGCTGAGAGAGTTATTTATAGGAGCATCATGTAATGGAAATCTAGAATTATGGGTATTGATCATAAAATTGTACTCCCTCCGTCCCATTAGAAGGTTCCCACTTTCCTTTTTTGGACATCCCATATAAAGGTTCTCATTTTCATTTAAAAAAATATTAACAATCTTAAGTGACAAATTAATCATTAAATATTAAAAATAATACATTTATAACATCGCAGTTCTCAATACTAACTACATGATAATATATACCTATTAAAATTATTTCTCAAAATGTACTTGAACTACTTTATTTAATTAATGTCTAAATAACCGTGTCGTTTTGCTCTGGGAACCTTCCAACGGGACGGAGGTAGTATATCATTAACTCCCACCACCAAGCTAGTTGTGGACTGAGTAAAGCCTGTCTTGGTAACTATTAGGTTGGCTACTAGGTAGACCTTGCCCACATCATGGAAAGAGTTGATGGGGTGATCTCATGGAAATACCTCCTGGAATGACCCCATGGGGTGACCTCGACATCTAGCAAGTAGCAAGCCCAAAAAAGTATAAAGCAAAAGGGACATCCAGCATATATGCCACTATATTTTTTGGATAAATCTTAACTGCTAAAAAAGTACCAATTAACTCACTAAAATTTTTAACCCATTGATTCCAACATCGTTAGAATAGAGGTGATCAGGTGGTAGTGGTGGTGGTGATGATGATAATTGATGATAATTGATGAATATGATTCTCTTCTAAACCAAAGTTAGCCTAAGGAACACAAAAACGTGGTGATGACATAATACGCAGGGATGAAATAAAAAACACAGGTTACAGGTACCTGGATGGACTTCCAGTATACAACATTTGTTCTTGAATGTTGCTTCTAGATGAGTAAGAAGAACATAAAATTATGTCGGTCAGCTGCATAAATAGTAGCATCAGACAAAAAGATGGCCATTGTTACTATGATATGTGATAAACAGAGATATGGTCTCGAACATCATATTTTGGGAAAACAAGAGCTAAGGAATATGCCTCTGACTGTCAGATCAGAGATGCTAAACAACGCCATCAAGATGATAAATATAACTCCCAAGCTTGCAAGTCCAAATGATCTCAATATTATATATTGGAACTACAAATCATTTACCAATGAATTTTCTTTATTAACTATTGATTGAATTGTGGTACACTTGGCAAGAAAATAATTAATTGTAGTATTGTACAATCATGTGAGGCCAAATAGAAAGAAAAAGCATAAAACAGTCACTTACTAGGATCAGAAAAAAGGGGGGCAATAGAGATGAGATTAACTTACATTATCATTTGATTCAGGAGGTAACAAAGCCACTTCTCTCTTACCAGATTGGTCAACTGATGATGATGATGATAATTCAAGCAAAATGTTCAGAGCCTGGAACGTCAGCAGAAGTAATCGGGAAAGTATTCATTATATATGATCAGATGTGATGCCAAATAGATTGCAGCTGTACAAAATTGACTTTTACAACAACAACAACATCCAAGCCTTAGTCCCAAAAGATTTTGGGGTCGGCAAAGTCTAACAGTTGAGTACCTTATAAAAATCATATCCACACTGACCTGCAATAAATAAATAAATTCAAAACACAGAGCAATGATATAAATCCCATCAGCAAGAAACTCAATGCAAAATTTTAGGAGCTAATAAACAGAATAACATAGTTTGATTGCCAAAAACAAAAGCAACCTAATAGAAATATTCACAAGCTTCCAATACTTCAATGAAAAAAGAAAAGACATAAAAGAACTCACAGAGCACGTCTTTGACCACAGCTAAACTCAAATGGCAATCATCTCCCAGCATTGAGCATAGAAACTGCTCAGATTCTTCCTTGCTGTAGCTTTCCGAACTAAACTTCTTCTGTCCAGACAATTGCTTCTTTGGCAGAGAGCTCACATAGTCCTTCCCCGACACGGTGGAAACTGTCCCAGCAGAAGCTACGACCTTCTTCATCTTACTCTTCTGCAACACCCTGTATTGAGCACAATGGTCCTCTCCAGACAGCTCGGATGAACTCGAACTCGCATACCAGCTCGAGATCGATGAGGTCGTGCTTTGATCCTCCTCAGTTTCCCCTAAATTCCCGAGAATCTCGGCAGCCCTGTTAAGGTCACCATTAGCTTCCCTGTAAGCTGATGCAGCTTCTTCAATCGAAACAGAGGCGAATGGCTCCAACAATCTCCTCCACATGATCTCACCATCTGATGGAGAATCTCCGAAATTGCTAACCTCGCATTCCTTAGGAGCTCTAGATCCCTTCTTTTTCTTCTTCTGGTGCTTCATTTTCTGATTATTTCCAGTAAATTATAGTATATATCTTAAATGATACAACAAAGGAGTTCAATCTAACGGCTATTTACAGATAATACAACTAGGAAGCTACCAAAACTGAGGTCCGTTCTACACAATACAAAACCCTAACTTAAGTTAATCCAACGATGACTGAACTTGACTAATCCAAAAGAAGAACGGCGCTGGATCATTGCCCGTGAATAAATATCAAAATACAATTTTGTTAGGTGAAACATTAAAACAGGCGGAGGATCTACAGAAACCCTAATTCGGGAAAGGGGAAGCGAGGAGATCGGGGAGTTTATACGTTTAATTTGAAATTAAAAAAAAAAAATCCAACGGTTTAGGAAGACGAAGAAAATTTTTGGGTATGATGGAGGGTAATTTGAGAAGAAACCGGTGGGCGTGGTGGAGCAGCGGCTGCAATATGATTGGTGGGTTAGAGAGAACAGTTTATAATAATCGGGTCAAGCCTCTGCGGGACGCAACGGTAACTTTTGGTAGCGGAGAGTTAGGAAAGGTAAGTTCTATACTGAGGGAGCACAAACAATTATTGGAATGTTTGTTTGAATGTGGAGAACTGTTTATGTAAATTAAGAGTAGAAGCAGAATCAATTCAAAACACCATATATGTTATGTTACGGGAATAAGGATAGATGAACATGGTCACCCGGGACATGAAAGACATTTAAAACCCCACATATAAAGACATCGTTAATTAGGGCTATCTAATGAATATGAAATGTCATGTTTAAATGTTGGTATGAGGCCCATAATCTAATGTGAAAAAGTTTACATTGTATTACATAAATCAAAGTTTAAACTTGATATTAATATGAAAAACATATTGTGATTTACAAACATGATTTTTTCCTTTTCTTTTTTTTGTGACTATGTTTTTAGTTTTTTAAACAAAAGCGGAAGAGAATTAGACAATGTCATAAGATATTGGGGGTGTTTGTCTGATTGTGTTGGTTGATTGATATAACAGATTATGTTGGCTATAAAAGGATATCAATTAATTTTTAGTTAATGTAATTAATATAACTACCTCAAATGTTTTTATGATTTGAAATGTAAGATTTACTTTACATCCTTCCAACAACAATCTTTCTGAATAGATGTATTAGAACTTAAGGAGAATTTCTCAGCATCCATCATAGCCTAAGTGTACTTATAAAAATATGAACCAACATGAGGCATGGAATTAAGCATATTGTTACGATCAACAAGAGCATGGTTACTCACCACATAAAACAGATCTTATTGAAAAGAATAAGGAGAAGGCCAAACATCACATTATCACGTACCACATTTGATATAAGTCGTGGGCTATACCAAGTAGGGGGTGTGCATCGGTTCAAAACCAGACCGGACCGGAGCGAACCAGACCAGATCCGGAACCGGATTTGCCATGATATGGAAACCGAAAACTGGACCGGATGTATTCCAGTTTTTATCTGGAACTGAACCGGTTTATCCAGTTCAAAACAGAAACCGGACCGGAAAAACCGGTTTCTAATTAAATAAATTTTTTCTTTATTAAAAAAGTTACTAATCATTTGATAAAGATGGAGTACTTATTATTAAAAATATTACTTTCATCCTTATTGTTTTCTAAACTCATTTTAATTAATTTTAGTTAGCAAGTATTGGAGTAACTTGAGACTAGAATAATATATATTAGTTAGTTTTATTATTATGAGAATAAAAATGAATGGATAAATATAATATTAGGACAATATATATTATAATCATTATGAAATTGATTGCTATTATATATTGTTATTAGTATGGAGTAGTATTTTTTATTTTATAACTATTATTATATTAGTATTAGTAAATATATTTTTAAAAATATTGCAAGACCGGTTAAATCCGGTTTCAACCGGAACCGGACCGGAAACTAGTTTCTTAAATTTTAATAGCCGAAAAATGGATCGGATAACATTCCGGTTCGATCCGGTTCCGGTTTTCCGGTTTAAACTGAATAGTGCACATCCCTAATACCAAGTGGAAACGGAGTGTGGAAGACACACATTGGGAAATGGTGGGAAAAAAGCAAATTGTCAATTTGCAGCGGCGTACTTACAGTTGTAAGACAGGAAAAATTTACAAGATTTCTTGCTCATGTGTGATAGTTGTGTGTAGGCAACACAATTTGTCTTGCATTGCTTTTGTATAGCCTTTTTTCTCATCCTCCGAATATGTTGCTTCATATAAAAGAGTATTCAAACCTATTCCTGACCGTGCATAACTGCATATTGGTCGAGTTACACTGGACCACAACGTCTGCATGACCCATCCGTGCATCATGATTAGGGGTGATCTAAGTTCACAAGAATTAAGAATGAAATAGTTGAAAGTGCAAGAGGTACTCTGAGATGTGGTATATGTAAAGCAACTGATCCCAATATGAGTTCATCTCAATATTCTACGACATCCACATCTACAACAGCATCGTCCCAACCAGTGAGTCGTGATGGAGTCGTTCTTCATCCACGTCAGCGGTGTAGACGTCCACACCTACATCGACATCCACATGATCTTGATGATGATGAGCATGAAGAGTTGTAGCATGTCTCCATTACATTTATGTTATCAACATCATTTTTGCATTAATACATCCGTCCTATTTTACTAGTCTTTCTTTTCTGTTTGGGTTTTCCCAAAAAAGTGTCACATTTCCTTTATTGGAAATACATATGTATGTGATCTACAACATTTCACTTTATTATACTCCAATCTCATCCACAACTGTTACTTTTTCAATCACTTTATTAATAATTGTATCAAATCAAAATAGGACACATAAAATGAGACAGATGTAGTATGACTTTATCACTCTTGTGAAACACGCATATTTTTTAGGAAAAGAGGTCAAATAAGCTCTTTTACTATCTCAAAACTGTCACTTAAACTCATGTACTTAAATAAGTGTCATATACATCTACATACTTGTAAAAAAGACATTTAAATCAAATGACTTGCAGATGACCTGATTTAGCAGGTAAAATTAAATGTGCCATTTTAAACAAGAGAAATGCTAAAGGTACCCCATTTTGGGTACCCCGTTTTAACCCTCAATGTGTGGCCACAAATAGGGCAACACATTTAAGTGGGGCAACACTTTTATGTGTGACCTCATTTGGACTACACAATGTGTGGGGTAAAACTGGGTATCCAAAATGGTACCTATAGCATTACTCAAACAATGCCAAATCGTCTCATCTTTTTCGAAGTGGCTATTTCTTCCCTCTTGTTTCACTTCAATCGCACATTCTCAAGACAATCCCCTTCTTATGTTCCATCTACAAGCAGTGAGCCACAACTATCCTTTCTCTCCATTTTTTCCCTTAACATCACGTTGGAAGAAATCTTCTGATCTACATCGAAGTTGAAAGATAAAAAAAATTAAAAATAAATGAAGAAAATAAAGAGTGTTTTTTCGAATTAATGCTAACTAATTACGAAAATAATGCTGGGTTAAAAGTATTTACCGATCTACTGCTGGGTTTAATCATGGTCAGGGAAAGTCGCCCAACGGTTGAGCGACTTTCCCTTCCATATGAACGCAGACCAACAACTACTGCCAGCCACGCACGATCATGCCTGCAAGAGTAGGTACGATCGTGCCTAATTCCGAAAACAGAATTTCATCAATTTTTTTGCCCCAGTTCAACCCAAATTCATCTGTTTGCTATAAATAAGGTCTACCTTCTCCTGTTTAAGTCTTACGAGCCAGATACAACACATTATAAAACATACAACACACTTGTTCACAACACACATACATAACACCTACTCTCAACAACTTACAAAACACCTTGTAAAGACCCTTTACAAATCAAATACAAAACCTTAGATTCATAACCGGCAAAACACAGTACAATCATCCAATATTCATAACAAGTAATCATCTAATATTCATACTCGAACACATCAACACAACATACAAGTGTGTAGAAGAGAAAATACGTAAAATGTTGTAAATTGTTCCTACAACATCTACTGTACAAGAAAAACTGCAATACAAAAGGCAAACTACAAGTTCTCATGGTCATCTTGATCATCGTGGTCATGGAGATGTTGCTGCTGATGTCTACGCCTACGTCATGGTCGTGGTTGAAGAACCACTCTCTCATGTTGCGTCTGGGATGATGAAGTCGTCGTTGTCACCTCCATGCCTACAAACAAACAAAATCGTATTAGTTAATTTTTACTATTATACTAATTCTATTTTTTTAATCATCCATTTTATTAATTAATATGTTTTCATGCAACACTAAGATGAATTGTGAATTACTATAATTAAAACCTTACCCACTGGACCCTCCATCGTGTCTTGACGATCTCTTCGCACATGTGGCCCTATTATGGCCGGTTTTGTGGCATTTTCCACATCTAACCGTTCCCCGAGGACCTTCATCCATCTCATTCTTAATACGTGTCGACTTAGGTCTTCCCTTAGCCCGAAGCATGGATGAATCGTGCACGATTTCAGGACCATTGTAAGTAGGCCAATAATCACGATCAGGAATGGGTTTGAAGACTCTATGATATGTGGCCGCATATTGGTCAGATGAGAAAAACTTATCCACAAATGGAGCATAAGACAAGCTACGTTGTCTGCACGCGGCAAACACATGGGAGCATGGAATCTTATATATCTCCATCTTTTTACAAGTGCAAGTTTTCCGTTTCAGATGGCCACCACAACTGGTTTCCACTTGAAATATCCCTCGAAATAAATCAAGGAGTAACTGTGTGATGCTTCACCTTCTCTCTATTCTTATCAATTAAATCTGTGATGTATGGGGAGTACTCGTGGCCTTCTGTCACTCTCATTTTACTGGTTTCACGCCTATTAACAAAATAAGCATTAACCCGGTAAAAGGAAACCTGGACCAAAGCGGTGATGGACAAATATCTGACAGTTTTCATCATGGTATTGAAAACCTCTGCCAGATTAGAAGTGATGGTACCGTATCTGCACCCGCCATCGTGGTGCAATGATCACATTTCCGGGGGAATGTTCCCCAGAAATTGTCGTGCCTCCAATCTCATTTCATCTATCTTCTTGAACCCACCATCAAATTTCTTTTTCTGATGACCTTATCACCATCATCTTCATCAGATTATGTCATGTCATCATCATTGATGTTGTCGTCAGCATCATCATCACTTCCCTGCCCATCCACAAATGATGCACCGTTGTGCAAATACCTACCATCTTCCTGTATAATCATGTGCAGTACAGGAACATTTGAGGAGTTCCCTGCATTCACACCTGCATTGACATAATGCCTAGATACAACAACATTTGATGTTGATGGAGTACCATAAGCGTCACATGGATTCCTCGATGTATATCTCCAGCGTCGACATGTCCTCCATCTGAACTATGTCCCACATATTTGTTATAGCTAGCTCATCAATGAGGGGCATAACTGCATAAGCATGTACTTTCTCCCGTTCATGGGAAATTTCATTTTCAACTGCAAAGAATGGCTAGAATGAATCATTGTGGC